CCAGATCATGAAAGTCCAGCCCATAATAGAACATGAGGCCGCGGACGAATGGATGGAGGGGAAACCCCAGTCCGCGGACGAAGTGGGGGAGGAATACCACCCTTTCGTGAGGTTCCGGGGTAGGGACGATCTGCCCCGCGGCTGGCAGCCGATGCGCGATATCCGCGGCTAAATATCCGGCTCCACGTAGCTTTTTGATGTGTCCCTCCGTGACGGAGGAGTCCATCCACTTGCCTCCTGCTCCAGACATGTTTGGAGAGAGTTGAGGAGAAGGATGTGGACTTGGGCGCTGGAGCTCGAGTGCGCGAGAATGGATGAGCAAGGAGGAAGAAGGCGTGGGTAGAAAAAGGTGAAACCTTATCCCTTTATAAGGGCGGACAAAACTATGCGTCCACACAAGCCTGGTAAAACTCGCTTATCCCCCCCAGGCGCCGTAATTGATGGCGCGGTTGGGTTACCCACGTCCGTATTGATGAAAATCCCGTGATAAGGGGAACACGTTCTCTGCTTTGACAAGATGCGTCAAGAAACCGCCCCGCGTTATGTGCGGGGCTGGTTAAAGAAAAACGGTTTAAATAATTACTGGACCGTGGCGTGATGTCATGCCACCAAAACGTGTCAGCAAATTAGATTTATGGAAATATTATTCTCTCTACGGTGGCATGTGGAACTTATTTTGCAGGGTCGGACAGTATCTTTGTATTCAAACTCTTCCGTGGTGTATTCGGAGAAGGAACCGGCCTTGCAATGCCGAAGACAACATTGCGTGCCGGACTCATCGTCATTGAAGTCTGGTTCAGGGGCTACTGAGGGAGTCCTGAGTTAGGGGGTCTCCGGACAACTGGACTATATCCTTTAGCCGGACTGTTGGACTATGAAGATACGAGATTGAAGACTTCGTCCCGTGTCCGGATGGGACTCTACTTGGCGTGGAAGGCAAGCTAGGCAATACGGATATAGATATCTCCTCCTTTGTAACCGACCATGTGTAACCCTAGCCTCCTCCGATGTCTATATAAACCGGAGGGTTTCAGTCTGTAGGACAACATATAATCATACCATAGGCTAGCTTCTAGGGTTTAGTCTCTCTGATCTCGTGATAGATCAACTCTTGTACTACTCATATTATCAAAAATAATCAAGCAGGACGTAGGGTTTTACCTCCATCAAGAGGGTCCGAACCTGGGTAAAACATCGTATACCTGCCTCCTGTTACCATCCGCCTTAGACACACAGTTCGGAACCCCTTACCCGAGATCTGCCGGTTTTGACACCGACAGTGTGGCTCGACCGCACCAGCCGCGCCCTAAACGGTTGGACTTGGCCTCGTCCGAGTCAGCGCGCGGGCACGCGCTCACTGACCAGCGTGGCGCCTGACGGGCGGGCCCAACTGGTCAGATTCCCTATCAATACGTATAAAACACACTTTTACTCTTTTTTGCAACGGCTCGCCTCAAACTTGGTACTCACATGTAAATATTATCAATCTTGGTATCAATCTGTTTCCAATGCCCCAATTGTGGTATTCCTGTGCAATTTACTCGGTCGTGAGGGAGCAGGGCGGTGCGGGAATGCTACGGTCGTGATCACATGATGGTGGGAGGACCGTATGTAGGCGAACATGTTACACAAAAAAAAATATGGTACATGATCACACCCAGGAACATTATGAAGGTGCCGGTAAGATCAATCTCATCGACGGGCAAAGTAGCGGAAGTAGTTTATTTGTCGGTGAAGCGCGACAATTTCCGTAGGTAGGTTTATACCCCCTAGCCATGAGAATTTCTTCGAGACGATCAGCAGGTCAAGAGTCGAAGTAAACGAAACCTTCGAGACATTCACGCGTTGCGAAGTAATAACCCGACAACGCTTCCACATCCAGGAACAAGAGTTCAGAGAAAACTATAGAGAATCCTAGCAGCATTTCCGTCTAATTATGAGTCCCAACTGTTAGACCAATTAGACTGGGACTAGAAGGCACTCTCTCCGTCCGATGAAGGATGTACGTTTGGCTTCAAAATTTGTCCATAAAAGAGTTTACATCTATGTTCCCAATGCATTTTAAAGTAGAAAAAAATGCTCCTCTCTCATCATACGGTAATCAAGACAAATTATATTTTAAAAATGGTCTCCTTAATTTCTACATGCACTTAGCTCATTGGGGGTTGGGTAATTAAAGAGGAGAGAGATGGTGGCTTACATCTTTTTAATGCATTTTTACTCTACTCCATAATTTGTCCTAAATTTTTATATGTACATTTTTCACCGAACGGAACGAGTAGGTAGTATTTACTCAAATCAACGGCCCGAAAGTGATATTTCACGGAAAATAAAGATTAAGCTCGGTCCAACACATAAGGCCCGGATGCCCTGAAGTCTAACTCAGGGCCATGTATAAAGAACTAATGCGAATATTTGTTTCATTTTTTTTGAGATAACACGAAGACCTTCAAAAGCGAAAGCACAAATCTAGTAGAGATGCATCCATAAATCTTATAATTTGTACATGGCCACCAGCCACATCACAGAAAAAAAAAACACATCAAGCACGGACAGTAGTACATAAGCATATCTTCCATAGAAAAAGCACAGATGCATCTAGTTCTCCGTCACATAAAGCTTTGTCCATGCCTTCAGGGGTAACAACGCTGACATGAAAATCTGGCAAATAAACGATAGGAGTGACCTCGTGTCCTCATCTTTCTGCTCCTACCTCGGCGACAAAGACGCAACTTTAATTGGGACGTGGCACACTTACATACTTGGCATCGGCATGGTGGGCGCTGCCAAACTACACCTTGGGGCCTATCTCTGACTTGGAACCTGAGCTTCCAACCAAGCTAACTACAAAACCATTCAGATCTAAGTCAGCTAGAGAGGAAGGAGAGCCCCACCTTTGGTGCGTGTGTTGTTGATGGAAGACGTCGACGGTGGCATGCATCGTTCGTCAAAAGTTCGGGTCGATGCCAAGGCGTGTGGGCTTCGGCCGGCAAAGCCCCTGCTAGGCATCTAGCGGCCATCATGTGGCTCCAGCCAGCTTTACCTTGCAGGTCTCTCCTTCCTCTCTATACAGATAAATAGGGCAGTAGAAGAATCAGGAACGCTGCAGTGAAGATTTATTGATGGAAGATGAAGTGAACCATCGTACGTTGAGGCTAGAAGAGGAAAGGACAGAAGAGAGATAACGCCTGAAAAATTGAACATATTAATTTGCTAACGTGGAATGCTGCATGTTCGAGAGGGGTTGATCAATGTTCACGTCTGGAAACTAAATGCAGCATGACGTGGCAGCATGCATGCGGAGAGTTGCTGATTTGGCTGGATTGGTGATGTGGAGGGGCTGCATGTTAAAATAAATCAAAGTAGTGGGGATCAATCTCTTAGGTATATAGGATTCCATAGTTTTTTGTAAGTTTTTTCTAGAACTTTTTGGAATGCTATATCGGTATTGTGCGTCCGCACCATTCCAACATAGACGTACCCTCCCTCCCCCCCAAGGAGGGAACTTCGGAAACACATCTTTGTCTTCATCGTCTTCACTAGCGGTTAACTCGCTCCTTTAGTTTGTGTTGAAAGTTACTACCTTGTGTTTACTCTTACTTGCTTATTGTGCTTGTTATATCGGTTGTCCATCTAGTTGCATATCTAAACAACTTATTTTATTTATTGAAACTCAAATTTGCAACAAAAAAACTTTAATTTTTGTTAGTCGCATCATCATCCCCCTCTAGTCGATTACATTGATCCTTTCAGCGAACAATATGCATCCACTTCTCTCCTTTTTTGGCGATTGGACGAGGTACATCATTGTGTGACTATGGGTCGTTAGATACAGAGGATTAAGGTGTTGTTGCTGTTTTCTTTAGAAAAATGCAAGCACCATGTGTTGAACCCGGTGAGCTGGGAATATCACTGTCCTCGTAACCATCGAACCACAGGTTGTTTTGCAGGTGTTGTTGGTGTCAGACGATACAAAATTAGACATATCTAGACCGCCAGATTTACACGATTGAAAGGTTGATTGTTTGGGTCCAACCCAAATCATGTATTTAGTATTAAATTGATAATTTTGATGCATATACCATCCAGGCGATTCTCTCCTTAATTGCATTAATTGTATACTCCATTCGTCCCAAAATTCTCATCTTAGATTTGTGTAGATACGGATGTATCAATTATAGATTTGTCCAGATACGGCTGTATCAATTATAGATTTGTCTAGATACGGATGTATCAAGTTATCCGTATTTAGACAAATCTAATACAAGAATTTTGGGACGGAGTACTAATTACAAATCTGCATGCGATTCACCCCTGAATAGATGAGTATTACTCCCTTCATTCCTAAATATTTGTCTTCTAGAGATTTCAGTAAGTGATTACATACGGCGCAAAATGAGTGAATCTATACTCTAAAATATGTCTATATACATCCGTATGTGATAGTTCATTTGAAATCTCTAAAAAGGCAAATATTTAGAAACGGAGGGAGTACTACCAATCTGCATGCGAATCTCAAATTAATGGCACTAAGGATTGCACGCCCTCTTTTGGTGATTAGAGAGAGTACCTTATTGGGTGAATATGGGCCGTCAGATGAAGAGGATTAATGGTGAGGATTAGGCGTTGTTGGTGTTGACACTAAACATTGACAAATCTGAACCGCCGGATTTATACGGTTGAATGCCTGATATTGTTTGGATCCAACCCAACGCGGGGTTTTAGTACTAAAATGATGAAGATGAAGATGGAGATGGAGATAAAGATTACCAATCGGCTACTAAGGTGGATGCTACTAATTACGAATCTGCATGTGATTCTCTCCTATTGTCAAATATTAAATGGATTCTAATTTACCAATCTGCATGTGATTCTCCACTTAATCGCCGAGTATTGGATGGATGCCGTGGCGTGTGGGCTCATCCCTGTATAAAACGGCCTCCAACCCGGCCTAACCCCAGGCACACACAAGCAGGAATAACAATTGTTGCGAGATAGAGATGTCGCTTCTCCTGGCTTTGATCGGTGTTGTGGTCGGAGTGGTTGTTGCGAGCAACCTGCTGCTAAGGTGGAACGAGCTGAGGTACGGCAGGAGGCGGAATGGGTGCCTACCGCCGCCGGGGACAATGGGGTGGCCGCTGTTCGGCGAGACCACCGAGTTCCTCAACCAGGGCATGAGCTTCATGAAGGAGAGGAGGCTCAGGTACGTAGTCCGTCAACTTGCCGCTTGCTCGCATGGTTGGTGTTCATGATGCATTTTCTTTCTCAGAGTATTACTCTCTCCGTTCGAAATTACTTGTTGCAGAAATGGATGTATCTAGACCAAACGAAGGGAGTAGCTACCAATGTCTTGACGGACATGTCTCTTCACCGGGATTTCAGGACATATTTTTTTCTTTGTTTTCTAGTATTTTTTTGGATTTGTCTAGATATGGATGCATGTATCTAGACACGTTATAGTGTTAGATTCATTCGTATCTAGATAAATATAAGACAATTAGTATTTTGTTACGAAGGTAATACTCCCTTCACCCCAAAATTCTTGTTTTAGATTTGTCTAAAAACGGATGTATCAATAGATTTGTCTAAATACGAATGCATTAATTAGATACATCCGTATCTAGACAAATCTTAAGACAAGAATTTTGGGACAGAGAGAGTATTAATTAAGATACGAAAAAATATATAATACTTTATATCATATAGGGAAAAGCTATCGTTCAGCCGGCGGATCTAACGAGAACCTCCGCCATCTTGTACGTGAGATGCGTGTCCTATGTGGGCCCACTCGGCACTACCTCTACAATGATCGACGGATCTAACGATCGATGCTGTTGCAGTCGGGTCTGGAGCTGGCGCCGCCGCCGACCTCCTCACCAGATCTGGCCGCCCCAGCTCCTACAACAATGCTCGCCTCACTGGATCTGATTGAACAGATTCCTGCAACAATGCCCACAAAGTCGGTCGGCATGGCGCCAAGCTCTTGTGACGGAGGCGACGAGGCATCACATGCGGTTTTGTTTCTACAGCAAAGGGCATGTTTCAATTGGAACAAGCCTCTTCGTTGCAAAAGGGCCATGTTTCAAGAAAAAAAAACTCCTCAAATTATTATTTGCAACAAAGCTTTTGTTGCAAAAAAATTCTGCAACAAGACATTTGTTGCATATATTTTTTGCAACAAGATTTCTGTTGCGGAAATTTTCTGCAACATCACTCTTGTTGCAAAAGTGATGGTTACTCACGTGGGCGCATCGAACAGCTATTTGACGTGTCCATCCAATGGTCAGCGAGGCGGCAGATATTTTTTCATTATCCGCTGGCCGACGCGTAGCGCTGCCCTATCATATAAGACTTCTTTGAAAGTACTACGAGGAATTAATCCGTGCGCTGCTGCAGATACGGGAGGATTTTCCGGACGCACGTCCTAGGGTGCCCCACGGTGGTGTGCATGGACCCCGATCTCAACCGGCGCATGCTGCTCCAGGGCGAGTCCAGCGGCCTGGTCCCGGGCTATCCGCAGTCCATGCAAGACATTCTCGGCCGCAACAACATCGGTGCCTTGCATGGCTCAATGCACCGGTTCATCCGCGGCGCCATGCTCGGCCTCGTGCACCCTGCTGCGATCCGAGCCAGCCTCCTTCCCAAGATCGACGCCTTCATGCGCTCCCACCTTGATGGATGGTCCGGCTCCGTCGTCGACATCCAGGCAAAGACCAAGGAGGTCAGTCAGTAGTCACCAAAGAAATGCTCGCTTTTCGTATTACTTTGCCCTGAAAAAAATGGGTAACCAACCTCAGAACTATCACAAAATTTTGATATATCACATTCAGGGACATATAAAAAATTGGTACACACTCAAAGTTGTAACTCAGTAACGGGGGAAAGTCCAAAGTGGTTGTTGCAACGTTTTATACTATCTCCTTGCTTTAAACAGAGTAACACATTTCGGGACATCGTCATTCCCATTTGCCGGTTTTGTGGTCGTAGCAGAGTTTCATAGAAGCATCTCCTTGCATGGGCATGCCAATGATATATCACAGAATCTTATGTGCTCATATCGTTGCTGACTGACTTTCCCTTTTAGGTGACCTTGCTATCTATGCTCAGGCAAATCGCCGGCATCACCGCTGGCCCGCTCTCTGATGCCCTCAATACAGAGTTCTGCACCCTTGTGCTCGGCACCATCTCCTTGCCCATCAACCTTCCAGGGACCAGGTACTACCAGGGCTTGCAGGCGAGGAAGAAGCTCGTGTCCATGCTACAGAAGATAATCACGGAGCGGAGGTCCACTATTCAAGCTCACGGTGACATGTTGGAGGCTCTATTGACAAGTGGCGATGACGGGACCAGGGAAAAGCTCAGTGATGAGCAGATCATTGACTTGATCATGACCATTATTTACGACGGGTATGAGACCATGTCGACGACCTCAATGATGGCTGTCAAGTACCTGTCCGACCACCCACGGGCTCTCCAAGAACTAAGGGTATGAACACATACTCTGAAAATCAATATTGTTTTTGCAAGCAAAAAACAATTTTGTTTTCAAAGAAAAGATCATGTGTTTCTAGAGTTTAGTGATTGTCTTTTCACTTATGAATGTAGAGAGAGCATCTTGATATTAGGAAGGGAAAATCGCCGGAGGAGGCTATCAACTACGAGGATTTCAAGTCCATGGCCTTCACTCGAGCTGTATGTAGGAGATCAAACACACACAATAATGAAATGAGAGCACAAACTTACTATTAGTATGATCATGATGTACCCATGGATACTTCTACCTTGCAGGTCATCTTTGAGACGCTAAGATTAGCCACAGTCGTGAATGGGCTACTGAGAAAAACTACTCAGAATGTAGAAATGAATGGTGAGTTATGCTTGCAAATTATCCTGCCATTTCTGCATTTTCTATGTAAATATTAAGTATGTTCTAATGCAACAAGGGTGTCATTTACGCATGATTCACCAATTTTTTTTTAGGGTTTGTCATTCCAAAAGGCTGGAGAATCTATGTTTACACAAGGGAAATAAACTACGATTCGTTCATGTACTCTGACCCGATGACCTTCAACCCATGGAGATGGCTGGTAAGCAAAAGAGTGGACAATTATGATCTTTACTACCTACTCAAACATACCACCACAACAGAGGAAGTTCTAATCTTGTGCTACCTACTAAAAACATACAGGAGAAGAACATGGAATCACACCCACACTTCATGTTGTTCGGGGGAGGTAGCCGGATGTGCCCTGGGAAGGAGCTGGGCACGGCTGAGATTGCAACTTTCCTACACTATTTTGTGACTCGATACAGGTATGTTCCTTTTGTTACTCCGCACTCACTTGCTAAGAGAACAACTCCAACATTATTATTTACTAACAACAAATATTTGTCATTCGGTCTTGATGTTGCAGATGGGAGGAGGAAGGCAAGAACACCATATTGAAATTCCCCCGGGTGGAAGCTCCCAATGGGCTACATATCCGAGTTCAAGATTACTGATCTTGCAACATACATTTTGCTTAGTTTAGATTGGTTGGACCCAGACAGGGACGATCAGAGTGTGATTCCGCGCCAATGAACGGATTAGACCAGGCTTGTAAGAAATAGGGATAATACAGGTGCTATGTGCTAATTAGGGAATAATTGAGGAAGAATGCTCTTGTGTTATTTTTGTTCGATCAATTCTTAGACCGAAATAAATGTATCATGTGCCGCCGGCGCAAAAAAAGAAGATAAGAAATATGCAACACAATGAAGGAGTAAAGACTGTGGCATTATTTCTGAATGAGTTGTGGGTAGAGAATCTTGGGCTGTGGTGCAGGGGAAAGTATCTGGTGCACCGGTAGCACGATGTTGTGTTAATGTGCTATTTGTTTCTAGATTTTTCTGAACATTTTTAACTGTCTGGTGCACCGATAGCAGCACAAGCACCGGTGCACTAGATACTTTCCCTGTGGTGCAGCTATCTGGGAGGTGTATCCTTGTACAAGGGAATTGTTGTACTGTTCCGTTGAATGTATAGCATCACCACAATTTGATGTTCCGTCATGGGGTGTCGCGCCGTCATCCTTAACACCAGTGGGAGAAGCGAATGTGGCCGAAACGGAGCAGGGCGGTGCTGGGGATGTTATGGACAGGATCATGCGGCGGTGGGAGGACTGTGATGCGGTCTTGATCTGGGAGCTAGCGGAGGAGTTCCAGCGCCCAGTTGTGGATGCAGATGTGCTGGTACCGCTGTCCAATGCAAGGGCTATCCGAAATGGTAGGATGAAGCAGGGAGAACATATCATGTGCATTGCCCTTACTTGTGCACTATTTAAGCCATGGGATAGGAAATATAAGGAGTGGATCATGCTGGCAGAGGGTAAATATGAGATGCTCCTATGGTCCAAAGCGATCTCCGCCATTTAATCTCAGATCTACCAGACATCTAAGGAGCTTTAGCCAATTTGCAGATCACCCCCTAGTATAATAATTACACACATGTCCAACAACTCCTCCACATGGGCTTGTATTACGAGAGCGCGGGAGGCTCGACATCATCTGATACATCTCAATTAGGCAAGGATAGTGGCATATCTGCAAAATGAGCCTTCTATTACTTTATTAAAATCAACCCGCACTCCTTTCCTATTAAGCGTATTTATTTATATTTGCAACCAGGTATGATTGACTAGGGGGGGGGGGGGTGTGAATAGGCAACTATAAATTTTTAGCTCTTTTTAAACAAATTTGGCTTGATCAGAAACTAGGTTGTCTAGATATGCAACTAGGTGGACAACCTATATGACAAGCACAACAACAACTTCACAAGCAAGCACAAGATATAAACACAATACAGGCTTGCACGATGTAAAGGTTAGAGGTAACCACAAGTAGAGCCGGGGGAGACGAGGATGTGTTTGCGAAGTTCCTTCCCTTTAGGGGGAGTATGCCTCCATTGGAGCGGTGTGGAGGCAAAATGCTCCCCTAGAAGCCACTGGGGCCAGCGTATTCTCCTCACGCCCACACACAATGCAAGATGCCATGATTCCACTTATGATGCCCTTGAAGGCGGCGAACGATCCTTTACAAACAAGGTTGGGGCTCTCTTCACAACTTAATTGAAGGCTCCCAACATCACCACGAAGCTTCACCACAATGAAATGTGGCTCCGTCTAGGGTGCCCAAACAGCCAAGAGTAACAAGATCTGCACGGGATTAGTGGGGGGAATCAAATATCTCTTAGTTGAAGTGTAGATGAGGCTTTCTCCTCCAAACCCTAGAGCAACAACAAATTTTGTTGGCTAGGAAGAAAGATCAGGTGAAATTGGAGCTTAAGGCAACAATGGAGCTTACGGGAAAAAGAGATGGTCTTCTTGAGGAAGAAGACCTCCTATATATAGGGGGGGGGACAATCTAATTGGTATTTGCACACAGCCCACACACAAGCGATACGACCACTCAGGGAAGCGGTACTACCGCTTGGAGCAGTAGTTCCAGGTCTAGCACAGAAGGTAGGGAAGTATAGGGGCGGTAGTGCCGCCAGATCGATAGTACTGTCCTCACCAGGGGTACTACTATTAGGTGCCTCGGACACAGGGAACCATGAGTGGTAGAGGGTGAGTAAGACGGCAGTATCGCATCAAGAGGTACTACTGCACCCTAATACCACTCTACTTCCATGGAGTGAAATGGGGGTTACAGAAACAAAATATAAGCGGTAATGGGTGCGGTAGTAGACAGTGGAAGTACCACCCAAGTGGTACTACCGTGCTACTACCACTCTACTCCCGCTAAAACCTCTGGGCTACAGAGAAGACAATGGTGGTGGGGTAGTACTCGTGCCATACTACCATGATATGTCTTCATCGTATCTACTTTTCTAAACACTTTTGCTCTTGTTTTGGACTCTAATTTGCATAATTTGAGTGAAACTAACTCTCATGGTTAGTTTTCGGCAGAACTATCATGGTGTTGTTTTTTGTGCAGAAATAGAAGTTCTCGGAATTAGACGAAACATTGCGGAGATTTTTATTGAATAAAAAAATGGGAATGAAGAACCACCGAAGGGGGCCACCAGTTGCTCACAAGGCAATGGGGCGCGCCTACCCCCCAGGGCACGCTTTGATGCCTTGTGAGTCCCACAGGCGGCCGTCTGACCTAACTCCAAGTTTATAAATTCTGTTTCCTATGGGACCGTTTTATGATATAGAGCCGCCTTCACTCCTGTTCTTCATCGGTAGGGCTGTTTTGGAGTCCATTCGTGGGATATATCGCCATTGTCATCATCAACCCTTCTTCATCAACAATTCCAAGACGCTCACCACCGGGAGTGAGTAATTCCTTCGTAGGTTGCTGGCCGGTGATGGAGTTGGATGAGATCTGTCATGTAATCGAGTCGATTTGTTAGGGCTTGATCCATAGTATCCACTATATTATGAGATTGATGTTGTTATAAGTTTGCTATGCTTAATGCTTGTCACTACGGCTCGAGTGCCATGATTTCAGTGCTGAAACCTCTACGTTATCATCAATATATTTGAGTTCTTGATCCTATATGCTAGTTGTATGCACTTATTATTATTCTGACTCATAGATCCTAAGGTGACAATAATTGGGATACTATACGGGAATGACTGCAGTTCGAGGAGTTAATGCATTGTTCCAGTTATCTATGAAAAGGAGGCCTTAAAATCCCCTTGATTTCCTTATGGACCCACTGTCATGGGAGGGTAGGACAAAAGATGTCATGCAAGTTCTTATTATAAGGACGTATGACTATGTACGAAACACATGCCTACATTGAATTGATGAATTGGAACTGTTGTGTATGGCACTAGGTTGTGACTGTTCTATGATTAATATCATCCATACTTAATATCCATCGCTGATCCAATGCCTACGCTTTCCTCATATTGTCTTCGCTAAGTTATTATTGTTGTTGCTGCTGTTACAATCACTACAAAATTGCTACTGGTATTGCTACTATCAAACTATCATACTATCGTGCTACTATATAGTTTGCTGCATAAATATTATTTTCCAGGTGTGGTTGAATTGACAAATCAACTGCTAAGGCTCATAAGTATTCTTGTACTCCCCTTGTGTAGAATCAATAAATTTGGAAGAAATACTACCCTCGAAGACTGCCGCGATTCCCTATACTTGTGGGTTACACTACAAAAGAAAACACTTCTGTGATGATACGTGTCTGTCATAGTAGGCCACATTTTTTATCATGCATGTACACCCATGACAATTTTATGACAGAATTAAGATAGTCATACCTGTGCTATCGTAGAAGTGTCCCATGAAAATACTCAAATTATCATTACAGAAGTGTCCACTTCCATGGCTATAAATGATGCGCAACCATGAAAGTGTTTTCGTCATGGGTAACTGGCACGTAGCATCCACTGTAACAGGTCGCCGTTAAGCTATCGGGTTCCCATTTCAGCCCGTTGTGTCTTTCGGCCTGGTAATGTCCCGTGCTGCACATGGGCTGTATATAGTCCGATGCCACATGCGGCCCATTAACGACCTATGATCTCAGTTGCAACATTTCAGCCCAACCTAACTTTGGGCATGTTAAAGGTCTATCATACAATTTGGCCCGTTGATGCCTCTATTATGTTTCATCACTAGTACGCGTCGGTGCTAAACAAACAATTTTTAACCCCTTTCCGCGACGGCATTCAGAACCATCGCCAAGTGAGTGTGGGCGATAGGGGAGTCCTTCCCACACGACCCAGAAACCGTTGGGGATATGCCCTCCTGGCACACGCGCTCGACAAAATGAGGTCGTGTGCGACCGGTGAGCGCTCAAATACGGAAATACGTACAATAGTGCTAAAAAATAAAATTATAAGGAGAAATTGCGCAAGTACATCCCACAGAGTCAGTCCCCGCTAAACATTTCTGTTCGTATATACATCCCACACAATCGCTACAAGGAAAACGTTTGCGCAAGGTGGCGAAACGCAAACAGTTTTAAAAAGAATGTCGTGTGTGATTGTTCATTGATCCAACACGGTTTATTCCTAGAAACTATGTGCGTTGCCTGAGGTCATCGCCCATGGTGTTTTCTCATTAACCGTTTGCAATAGGAAAACCCAATTAGCAGGCTAATTGTCCTATTATTAATAATCCATTTACTAATCTAATTGACATTCATATTAAGCACATAATATATTCCATTTCCATATTAAGGAAGCAGGATTTCATAATTGAAATACATCAGAGTACAACATGATATAGCTTCAGCACGCAGCAACCCCATTACACAACTGCACCAGCAGTAAGTTTCACATGCAACATTTAGAACCTTACGAAATTAGCATCATAGAAGGTACGTAGAGAGATGCATCTCATCCGGAAAACTGCTGAAGCGGAAGACGGATATTGAGCCTTTATTCATGTTGAAGGTCTTTGCAACTTTAGGCCAGTGCCTGTGGATGATTGACCATCCATCCTTCGACCTCTTCAGAAACAATTCAATATTGAACCGTGGATGTTGTATGAAAACTTTCTATCGGTGTACTAGAGAAGGGGTACCCTAGTATCCCGAACTTGTGCACGGGCAGTCGCAGCATCCCGCGGCAAGGCTTGCCGGGTGACCGCCAAGGTCCTCCGTAGTTCCTTTGGAGCCATTCAAGGATAAAGTATCCAAGGCATCTCAAGGAGACAAGACCCCGGCAAGAGGAGCTTGTCGGGAAGGCCAACCAAGGCATCTCAAGTATCCAAGCCAAGGAGACAAGACCCCGGCAAGAGGAGCTTGCCGGGAAGGCCAACCAAGGCATCTCAAGGAACTCGCCGCGATGCGCCACGCGTCCCGGCAAGGCCCGGTGAGCAACAAGCTCCCGGACGCGACAATACAATGACCGCGGCAAGGCGCTTGCCGCGGCAAGCCACCACTCTGTGACCGCGCTCCAGCACATCCACCAACGTGTCGCTCTGGGACCCTTCCAGGCGTACGTGGCGGGGGGCTGTGCAGCCAGCGGTGCGCGGTGGCAAGCGGCGCTGACAAGATTGCCATCGTGGCGAGCGGTGGCGTCCCTGGCGGTCCCTTTTGCACTATTTAGGCGACGCAGCCGGGCATTTAATGCCCTTGTCCCCTGCTGTCAGGGTTAGTTATGATACACTGTAGCAGGTAGCTGTACCAACTCAGCACCTTTCCATTTTTACCCTTGTCTACGTTGCCACCTGTCGGTGACCCCTTGAGCATATAAAAGGAGGCCCATGCGCAACATGGAGGGAGGAGGAAGAGAACTCTCACGCTTGGTCTCGTTAGCTGCTAGGGTGTACTGTAGCACTCCGCGCTCCCGAGCAAGAACTCAATACAAACCACAAAGTAGGAGTAGGGTTTTACGCATCCGTGTGGCCCAAACCTGGGTAAACTGCTCGTGTGCTTCGCCTCGATCCACTCTTCG